AATTAAGGTTTTGCCTTTTTCAGAAGGAAAAATTATAAGCACGAAGATAAATATATCTATATCTACTGTATGTACAGTATATAATATGTACAATGCATATTTATGTGCATAGATGTATACTATTATAATGTGTACATAGAGATATATATCAAGAAGAGCAATATGGAAGAAAGAAAACTGCTGTAATGACTTCTGATTTCTGCTGATATTTCCCCTTGGGATGTGTCAATAAATCAAATTCAAAAAATTCTGTTATTCCAGGGCAAAAGGCAGGAATAACTGATGTCACAAGGGTATGTGAAGTAGCTGTTAGAATAGCTGCAGACAAATACATGAGTAGTGTGTGGTTACTTAATAAATATCAGGCACTTAGAAAAAATAACATTTTCACTTGTACACAAAGCTATGATGGATATGTAGAATACTGTTGGATAGAAAACAGCACGGTATTAAAGGGTAAAAAAGCAATGATTGCTGAATAATTGGGGAAACTAAAGGAGATTTAAGCAGAAGCATTTTTCTTGTTACAATCACCTAGAGGCCTCTCTCAAATTCCTTAGTAAGAAAGGGTTGACACTAACAGAAGAACTCTAGAATATTTGCAATGATTTATTAGTACATTTAAATATCTTCCTTTCTCTCTGCATTTTTTTTCTTATAAAAATGAATTTATTGTTACCATAGCATAATAACATACTATCCCTTTCTGCCAATGCTACCTGAAAACCTTCCATGTCAATTAAATAAATACACAGTGGGGGAAAGCTAATAAGGGAAAAAAATATGAGAAAATGAAAAAATGGAAAAGAAGTGTTTGTAAAGGGGGAGGGGAGGAGGGGTGAAGGGAGGGCAGGGACAAGGGGAAAAAATGAGAACCAAGACCTGTCATGTAAAGGTACAAGATCCCAATGATGAATGTAATTGTACTGTATACCTAAAATGTACCAATAAACTCAATGAGAAAAAAAGAGCACAGTGATCTTTCATTATAGTCCTTTGTTTCTTTTCTTTGATTTTTTTTTTTTTTTTTTTTGAGATAGGGTCTCACTGCGTAGTTGAAACTGACCTGGAACTCACAATGTAGCCCAGGCTGGTTTCGAACTCACAGCGATCCTCCTGCCTCAGCCTCCCATGTGCTGGGATGACAGGCGTGGGCCATCATGCCCGGCTCATCATAGTCCTTTAAAGACACATGTTAACTCATGCTGTTAATCTTAGGATCACAGTGCATAGAATCTGAATATAAACAGTTGGGGTGACTTTCAAAGTATTGTTGGATCCCTCACTTCATTTATAATCCCACCATACCTGTCAGGCTCACTTCATAGGCTCTGTCATGCATGCACTGAGTGGCAGGAATTAATTAAAACTTTTTCTGTTACAATGTCCATTGCTATCAGTGGACATTGTGAAACCAGCAAGGAAATCATTGTTATTGTGCAATACATGAGGATCTGGAACTTCTTCAAAGCTTAAAAAAAAAAAGTGGAACAATGTTTGACATTTCCTGAAACCTGCTGCATTTATACCGCGTAATTAATAAAAGCATGTGAATTGCATGGGCTGAACCAGCAATCAACACACACCCAGAATGTGCAGGAGCGAAAATGCAGCAGAAGGAAGCAGTCTTCATGCCTATAGGTCACTCCCAGTCAAAGATTAAAGTTCAAGGACTGAATGATCAGACAGCGCATTTTCTCACTGCCCTACCATTTTGTTTTCTTTGCATTCTGGTTGCATGTTCACACGTAAAGAGAACTGTCCGCTGCTGTCTCTTTTCTTTGCAGCTGGAAAGCATGCTAATAATCCTAAGCCAAACTAGCTGGACTGAGATTGTTGGGGACCAATCATCTGTCCAAATGGATAAACAGTTATGACTACTGCTGTGAACATGAGGATAATTGGAAATATCTTTACCAGAAAATATGACCTGAAAAGAGCCAAAAGGATATCGATACTAAACTTAAATTGAAGTCGAACCCTGCGCCCCATATAAGGTACCTGGTGCACCTTCTGAGTCTACAATCCATTATGCAATTGAATTTGAACACTCTTTTCATTTGAAGTCATCCCAGGAAGTGGGACATTTTGCAAAGCCAACAGTTCTTTCTGTAGTCTTTTCTGCACTGACCCTAATGGAACCATTCCTCCAAGGTCAGCAAGGCCAGAGATCCAGGAGCAGAGATGCTCTCTCTTCCTTTTTAATCATCCTCGCTCTCATTTTTATTTATAAAATGATGGTTTTTAAAACTAAATCCACTCTGAAGAATGAATGAATATTTCACTTTTTTTTTTTTTTTTTTTTTTTTTTTTTTTTTTGGTTCTGGGGATTGAACTCAGGTCCTTGCACTTGCAAGGCAGGCACCAGAACCACTGCACTAAATTCTCGGCTTGGAATGAATACTTTAAATAGTTAAGAAAAACAGAAATGTATTTAGAGGGCTGAGGTGCCACTCAATGGTAAAGCATATGCTTAGCATGAATGAGACTCAATCCTCAGCACACACACACACACAGAAAACTTTAAATCTTTAAAACAACCCCCAAGTATTTTTTATTAGGATTTTTTAAAATAGTATCAGGGATAAAACTTGGGAACTTGTGCTTGTGATGCAGGAAGCAGAACCACTGAGCTAAATCCCTGTCCCTATTATGATATTTTTTTAGGGGATACAGTTTGAGACAGGTCTTGCTATATTGTTGAGGTGGCCTAGAACTTGCTATGTAGCTGAAAATGGTCTGCGATTTACGACAACCCTGCCTCACCCTCTTGTGTGTTGGATTAAAGGCATGTGCCACACGCGATCAAAATCCCCAAGTATTTATTAAAAGAGAGGAGAAAGGGGGACTGATAATCACACCTAAACTGCAGGGGCCCAAATACCTCAGTCAAGCTTCTGGTAACAAGGGTGAGTAGACTGGTTAATGAAACTTGGACAAGACTTGTGTAGTAGTCAGATTTCCCGTTGCTCAGACATAATACCTAACACCCAGATTTTAAAGAAGCAAAGGTTTCATTTGGCTCGTGATTTCAGGGGGTTCAGTCCATGGTTGGCTGGGTCCAAAGCAGGAACATCATGGGGGGTGGGCATGGCAAAGAAAAGATGCTCAGTTTTGATGGCCAAGAAGCAGAGCAGGAAAACAGGCCAGAGAGGAAGGGTCGAGGGACCAGATATGGTGCCCAAGGTCATGCCTCCTGACCGACCCACCAGACACACCCAGAAATGTGCTTTACTCATCCCTTACGGAGCTCCCGAACAAGTTCACAATACAGGTTTAACCAGCACAGTTTGCTTCTATTAGAATATATTATTTCCTTGTGTAAAAACCAACTCGTCTTTCTGAGTCTTGTCCAGCTATACCACATCTGTAGCTGTGCTGGCCTCTCAAACACCAGTTCTCAAAATAATGGTATTTCCAGACAGCAAATCGAATTCCATCAAGTTTACTATCAATGTTGATCTTCCTCTGTCATGTTTCCAGACTTGGACTTTTTAGTCTTTGCCATTACGGCCAACAAAACATCAACATATCACCTCAAATTTACACTACTGATTTGCAAATTCTGTCAAACATGATTATAGGTGAATGAAGTTTTAGCACCAGATAGTTATTATTTAGATTAGTTGACTTTTTTTTTTTTGGCTTTTGAGACAGGGTCTCACTATGTAGTTGAGACTGACCTGGAACTCACTATGTAGCTCAGGCTGGTCTCGAGCTCACAGCAATCCTCCTGCCTCAGCCTCCCGAGTGCTGGGATTACAGGCATGTGCCACCACACCTGGCCTAGATTAGTTGACTCTTGACCAATCAGGGTATTATCCTATCTTATTTTTAATTTTTTTCCTTTTTGAGGCACCAGGGACCAAACTCAGGACTTTTTTTTTACTTTTAATTCTTTCATGGCAGAATTTCTTTCTTTGTGATTTTGTTTTTGTTTTGTTCCAGTACTGAGGACTGAATTCAGGGCTTTTGACTGAGTTATATCTTCAGCCCTTTTTTATTTTTTGTTTTGAGACAGGATATCATTAAATCACTAAGTTGCTCTGGCTGGGCTTGGACATGTGATCTTCCTGTCTCAGCCTCTGGGAGTGCTGGGATTACAGGCATGTTCTCCATCATTAGCTTGCCTTTAATTTTGTAACTCTCATGCATTCAGCCTTCACATAAAATAAACTGAATCAATGCATCCTACACATTCTTTTGTATTAACGTCTAAAAATCCCAGGCATGCAATATCTCCAGTAATACCTCAATATAGCAAGGGATATTCCTTGTTGTTCTTCATAGAAACATTCAGAAATGATATACATTAACATTCTAATCATTCATGCAAAAATATGAGAAAGCCCTCCCACCCCCCGCTTTGGTTAACCAAAACACAGCAGGCTGGCCCCGGCGAGGAGAGGAAGACCATTCCTTTATATCTAATCCGGTCATAGAGGGTAAGTGGTGGAGTCTCTGATAACTTTCACTACAGATTCCTTAATCTAGGCAATTACAAATTTCATTTGAACAGCAACACTTTTGTTGATGTCCAGATGACTCATTTTGTAAACGCCATCACGTTCCAGCAGGAGTGGGCTCCGTGAGCTGCCTTCCCGCTGACATAGGTGGAAATCTTGAGTCGAGATCAAAGCTACTTCATGCTTCTCTGACCATTCTTCACAGTGGACAGAGGGGCCTCCTTTCTCAGCTCAGAATTTTCAGATTTGCCTCAGTGACCCCTCTTATAAACAGTCCACGTGTGGACATACCTTCACTGAAGATGCCAATTTGATCTATTGGAAATCACACCTTGAGTTTTGGCTTCTAAATGGCATCTTAATCCACTCCCAGATTTCAGAAAATCCTGTCTGGTTCCCAACCAGGAAGTTAGTGAATAACAAGAGCCCCAGCAGAGCAGAGAAGCAGTGCATTCTGCCCCCACAGAAGCCTGCCTCAGGCTCCCATTGCTGTAGGGGTGCCCTTGGAGAATTCACCCTGGAAAGATCCCTTACCTTGATAGTCATGTCTGGGCCGGAGGTTTCTGCAGCTCCCGAGGCTGCCTCCACTCCCTGCACAAGTGCACTCTGCCACCCAACTCCTGGAAAAAAAGCAGGGCATGTGAGCAGAGCGGATTGCGCTGACATGGACAGGCACGCAGTTGCCATTTCACAGGTTCTAAACTCACGTCACTGATAAAGAAAACCCACGATGACCCACGGTCCTTTACCTACCGGATGGTTACCAGGAAAGCTTCTTTTCAGAAGAAGGGTCTATTAGCGCCTGTTCTGTTTCCACCTAACCTCAAATTTTAGAGTCCATGGTCTTGGTGTTGAATCTTACAGAGTTCTACTGCAGCCCAGAGTGGAGAAGGGGTTGGAATGAACTCCTCCAGCATCCAGGCCTCTTTACTGAGGTCTCAATTAGGACTTAACGTGGATCCCAGAACACAGAAAACCACACATGTAATTCAATACCCAGTAGAAATATTCCCTTTTCAATTCCACACACCTACCTGAAATATCTGAACATTTATTGTCATTTTTTCTCTCTCCTTCCCCTCCTTTTTTCTTCCCTCCCTCCCTCCTTCCTTCCTTCCTACTTTCCTTCCACCCTTCCTTCCTTCTCTCTATTTCTTTCTGGTACTAGGGGTTGAAACCAAGGCCTTGCATATGCTGCTAGGCCAGGGATCTACTATTGAGCCACACCCCCTCCCCGTTTTTGTTTTTGTTTTTTTTGGTACCGGGGATCAAACTCAGGTCCTTGTGCTTGCGAGCTTGTGAGGTAGGCGGCAGAACCACTGAGCTAAATCCCCGGCCCTACACCCTAGCCTTTTTTAAAAAGTGTTTATTTTGAGACAACATCTTGCTAAATTGCCCAGCTTGGCCTCAAATTTATAATCCTCCTCCCTTAGCCTCCCAAGCAGCTGCGATCATAGGTATCTACCACCGTGCCTGGCCTGCTGTCACTTTAAATTTGCATGTTTCCTCTCCAAGTATTCTCTCCCCCCCCTCGCTCTGTTTCCCTCCCTCCCTCCCTTCTTTTCTTTCTTTCTTTTTTTTGTGGTACTGGGGATTGAATCCAAAGTATTCACACCAAGCTACATCCCCAGTCCATTTTTCTATATTTAGAGATTGGGTCTCACTAAGTCACTAAATTGTGCAAGCTGCTGGGATTAGGGTGAGTCTGCCACCACATCAAGCTGAAGTTGGTATTGCTCCTTAAATTGTCAGACTATCTCTAAGAGTGACATCTGGCAAGTATAAAAGGTTTTGATCTTTTCGGCTTCTAAGAAGAGATTGAGGTTGCTGTTGACTCAAATACGTATGAACTTGGCACGGCAAAGCTACCCTAAGCCAGATGTACCAGAAGAGTTGACACAGTCTATTGTAGTGAAAAGTTTGAGGTAGTGACAAAACGTTGATTCATTAAACATAAAGTTGTCTCCTTATAGGTTAAAAAAGCCTTTTTCTTTTTTTTTTTTTGAGACAGGGTCTCGCAATGTAGTTCAGGCTGGCCTTGAATGTGGGGCAATCCTCCTGCCTCAGCCTCCTGAGTGCTGGGCTTACAAGCATTCACCCCCATGTCTGGTAATAGAGCAATATTTTAAAGTTTCTCAGGATCTACTTAAACAGACATATTTGTTTGTTTGTTTATGTGTTTTCAGTTCTGGCAATTGAACCTAGGGCCTCACACGCACTAGGCTCACCACTGATCTACACCCCATGTCCACAGAAATTTCATAATTGGTGTAGTAACCGCCCATTTGGAAATGAGTGCATTAAAATGATTGTTTTCTTAAATAGGCTCCAATTTGCCCTATGGATAACTCAAGGACAATATTCATTTCAGATCTGTGTGACTAACCCAAATTCCCAAATTCCCACCGTCTCGTATTATGTTCATTTAAGGTTGGACAACTTTTCTGTTCTTTCGGGCTTTGTGGTCTTGCCATTTCTGTTGCCATTTCTCAAGCTGCCCGTGCAGAGGGAAAGCAGCCACGGACAGACAACATATGAACTAAGGGCCATGGCTGGCTTTATTCACCAAAACAGGAAATGGGCCATGTTTGTCTCACGAGAGGCCACAGATTTCACCAGCCTCTGCACCACATCAAGAAATCGGAAAGCCGGCCGGGCATGGTGGCACACGCCTGTCATCCCAGCACTCAGGAGGCTGAGGCAGGAGGATCACTGTGAGTTTGAGACCAGCCTGGGCTACACAGTGAGTTCCAGGTCAGTCTCAACTACGTAGTAAGACCCTGTCTCAAAAAAACAAAAAAACAAAAAAGAAAAAAACGGGAAAGCTGGGGTGCAGCTCAGTTGTACAGCCCTTGCCTAGCATGCACGAAGCCCTAGGTCCAAACCTCAGCAATAAAAAAACAAAACAACAGGAAAAAAAGAAACCAGAGAGCAGCTCAGTGACAGTGCATGGACCTAACATGCAAAGTTCTAAAGAAAATAGAGCTAAGTAAGATTTCTATACTCCAGCATTTGTGGGAAGGATCAATTCACTCACCAGGTGGAAAAACACTAACAAGTTTGAATTTACATGATATTTCAAATAAACTAATATGAAGTTAATTAAATGTTAATTTGTCAGCATTGGTGACATTTCCTCATTTTGTACTATAGGTTCCCAACAGCCTCATCTTGCAGGATACAGATACGATGGACTGGGATGCACTGTGCACAGTTGTCTCTGACTTGGTTGCAGAAATGAGAGCAATCTGACAACACACCAGGCAAATTCTTCTCAAGAAATCACTGCTAGGACATCGTCAGTTTTGTCTTTAACAGAAGTTTCTGGAAGGAAAGTTTCTGTTACTACATGAGCAGATCATTTCCCAGAAATGGAGCAAACTCATCACCCCTGGGTTTAAGCCCCTGTTGGTGGATGTGGCTGGCAGAGAGACCCACACGCTGGGCCCATGGACGAGGAAAGATACGGCATCACAGTGTGCATCACAGCTCATGTGACTGCTCTCAGTATGCATTTTCCTTCTCCCTCACTCTGTGACAATTTTTTCTTCTCTGTCCCGCTGATGGTTACTTTCTCCAGTGGGAGGCTGGTAGGCATAATGCAAAGACTGGAAAGGGGTCTGTGTGGTGAAGTTTGTCCTCTTGCACTGCTGCTGTAGCATGAGAAGGGCGTGTGCCTCAGTCTACCGAGGAAGGAGAATCATGGGAGGAGACGTGGACCAAATCTTTACTTTGGAGCCAACCCAAGTCTAGCTCAGCCAAGCCCTGGTCCAACTGCATGTGTGACAGTCACAGCCATTGACTTTGGGGGTGGATTGTGAAGCAGAATTATTGTAACAATAGCTAACAGATACGCTGTATAGCCAAAACTATAAATGAAAATCATTTTGGATCAAGTAGCTTTATTTGCTGATTTTTTGAGATGCAGTCTCAAATTGCTCTGTCTGGTCTTGAACTTCTGGGATCAAGCAGTTTTCCTGCCTCAGCCTCTTCAGTAGCTGGAATGTCAGGCATGCACCACTGTATCTGGCTGGATCAAACACTTTTATCTTTAACTATAAAAATATAACTATCTCTGTAGCATGAAAACTTTTATTTACAAGTATTGAGTCCCTTCTATATGTATTAGTCTACTCTGGGTAAAGTTTCCTCTCTGCTGTAATCATGCATTTTTGTAAGCAATGCTATCTCTCTCTCTCTCTCTCTCTCTCTCTCTCTCTCTCTCTCTCTCTCTCTCTCTTTGAGACAGGGTCTCACTATGTAGTTGAGACTGACCTGAACTCACTATGTAGCCCAGGCTGGTCTCCAACTCACAGGGATCCTCCTGCCTCAGCCTCCCGAGTGCTGGATTACAAGTGTGCGCCACCATGCCTAGCCAGCAATGCTATCTTTATGAAAAGCTGAATGACCATTAGAATGAGATATGAGACATAAATACAGCGTATTGGTATTCTTAAAATTTTAGCCTTCAATCCTTCAAATTAGCCTATCATTTCACAGCAAGAGTGAAAGGGTAAATACTAACAAATTTAGTTTTAAAATTTATTCATCCTTTTTTTGAAGCAAAACAGTTATTGGTACATTTTAGAAATACATGATCACAGGGAATTTGTACCTGTGTGTGATATATCTTGCATCTTTTTTCCCCATCCCCTCTTCAACCCGTTACCCTCCTTATTTACAAAAGCTTTGTTTCCAAAAAATTGTTATTAATCTTGATTATGAGTTCTGAGGACAGAAATATGATTTTAAAAGCTAGAGGTGCAGTTCTTTATGGAGAAAACTGTGTTTGGAGAACAAAGCAGCTTTATGGAGCTTTTTGGAATGAAGAGGTGGCCCCCACGTCACAGAGGAAGGAAAGAAAGAGGTGCTTGAAAGAAGCTGGAGCAAGAACGAGCAGTAAGGAACATCCAGGGAATAACAGGAAAGACTTTTGAGAATAATGATGTTAAAAAAAAAATCAACTTTTGCCAGGGACATAGCTCAGTGGTTCTGCTGCCTGCCCTGCAAGCACAAGGTCCTGAGTTCAATCCCCGGTATCAAAAAAGAAAAAAAAAATCAACTTTAAATGATTTATCACGCTGTCACGATGCAACTTCCCTTGCTGTCACACCTGTGGTGGAAAGCCATTCTACCACTGTCTTGCATTGGTGCTGTCCAGTGCAGTCTGAATGAGGCCTCACTCACCTCTGGACGTCGGGGTGGGAGCAGAGAGGGCCATGAGCACATGTGAGCTCCCTGCACGTGCAGAAGCTGAGGATGCCACGATGCTCAGCAATCTGGAGAAGGCACTACCCAGTGCACTGCACACGATAGGGCAACAGCCAATTTTATCAGGGTACCAACAGGCAGAGGCCCTATCATCTTGAGGATTCAAGGATAAAAGGCAGCTGGATGTGGTGGTGCACATCTATAATCCCAGCTACTCTGGAGGCAGAGGCAAGAGGATCACAAATGGAAGGCCAGCCCGGGTAACTTAGCAAGACCCTGTCCCAAAATAAAATATAAAGAGGGTTGGGCATGTAGCTCAGTGATAGAGCACCCCTGGGGTGGAAAGAAACTATGAAAGCCAATTGACTTTTTTTAAAATTTACAGTACTGGGATTTGAATCCAGGGCCC